GGAAGGAAGAACTCAAATGCAGGACGGACAAATAATGCGAGATTCTTTACATTAGAACTACTACACTGCAAAACATGATTAAATATGAGGTGATACATTCTTGTATCTAGTGCTTTTAAAAATTACACAAATAATAAATAAACACAATATTTCAAGAACTGTTGCTTTATTTTCACTTTGATTCTGTCTTATTAAAACAAGATCATTTTGCTCATCGTCCCATTGGCAAATCTTGTTTTAACGCAGTCGAAAGGTACTCAGATTAAAACACATTTAGCCAAATTTGAGACATTTTTTACGCAATTTTCACTACTTTTTGCAGTGTGGAGCTTAACTTTGGGACTTGTTTCCGTGTTATATAACAGAAAGAGCCTCACGCAATAGCATGAGTGGAGATGGCTATCTATCTGTGTGGAGTTTGCATGTTCTCCCCATGTCTGTGTAGGTTTCCTGTGGGTGCTCCGGTTTCCCCTATATCACTAAAAACATGTACAATAGGTCTGGCATGCTCCTCTGGGTATGATGACCCTATCTTAGGACACTGGTCTGTGAAAGGTGCTATATAATTAAACATTACTTACAATTCAAAGACATCCCTCCCAGGCCCGCTAGCTTTGGCCCCTCCTCTGTGCTGCATCAGGCTCCGCCCCCAAGCCCTATATAGATTGTGTTTTATTCTAAGAAGCAGGGCTGGACTGGGACAAAAAAACGGCCCGGCCATTTTTTCCTTCTTACCGGCCCAGGCATGTTTTTGTCACGTTTTTTACAGTTTGTTTATACCAGGGATCGGCAACTCAAAAGGTTCAAAGAGCCATATTTGACAAAAAATACTAAAAACATCTGTCTGGAGCCGCAAAAAAATAACAGCCTTGTATAAAGCTTATATGAAGGTTACACAATGTAGCTACATTAGCTACATTAGCCTATTATCTAAATGACAAAGTAAAGGCTACAAATTCATGATTAGCATTCATGATTATCAAATGTGTGTTTTCACTGCAGCGTGTCCTGGAGAGAATGACGCACCATGTGATGACTCTGCTTTAACTTTGACTTCCATTTTTTTGCCTTCATGCAACTGTAGAAATACAGTAAATAAATCTGCTTTTTGGCTCAAAGGTCACACACCTGCACTGTCCGCTCATATCGATTACATCACAGGCTGAAGTTTGCTGAAGCTGAATGTTTCACAGTCTTTGCGGAGGTTTTTGAAGTCTGAAAAAGGTGCTCTGGATTTTGTATGAAAGAATCCTTCACGTAATCCCTGTGAACGGTATATTTAGTGCTTCATTGTTCCTCGTGTTGCAACAAAACTTCCTATTACATCGCAAACATGAAGCAGTCCTTCCTCATTGACTGAAAGCAAATGTTCAGTCTTGTTCTTAGTCCAGTCTTATTATCGACTCGTTCTCTTTTTATCTTTGGGATCCGTGCGCACACGCCGGTTTGTTTACAGCAGCGGCCGTCTGCCGCGGGGCCACGCCACAGGATATGACCACGTTGACAGAAATGTAGAAATTGAATATTACTTATACACATTTTTACAGCATTGAAATACGTTAGGAATGTTTTTCCTCCTACAGAAACCACATTCAAACTAGGAATAAAATATAGCCCTCCCACTCCATTTTCAGACATTTTTGAAAAGGCTCCAGGAGCCACTGGAGGAGCACTAAAGGTTGCTGACCCCTGGTTTATACAGTATGTGGAAGCATACTGTAGAGGATCAGGATGTCTACAGTTTCAACAAAAAAATAAAATGCAATAGTCTACATTACAAGACAGTAATAAACATGTCTCAGAGTGAGGGAGGTGGGCACAGACAACACTGTTGTTTGTTACAGGGATGAGAATTGGTCAAAAAAGACTGAAATGCATATTGTCAGCCATTGGCTGGCTCTAAATCTGTTTAATTTTTTCACAACATTTTACTTTTGGGCTCAAACATGAACTTTTAATGCAATGGAAAATGTAGGCACCCGAGCTTTAATTTAGTCGCACTTCGAGAGGAGAGGGGAGACGCGGACTGTTTTCTGCAGCGGTGTATTTATTGGGTGCAAAAATTACGCAAAGACACGCATGGTCCTGTGCGCGTTTATGGTCTTGGGTACATGGTCACGTTGCGGCTACGCGCTCAACGTGTTGTGTTGTGAGCAAGCCCCGGCGATCCAAGATGGCGCCCTATTCAAATGAATGGTTGCGCTCAGTGGCGCTTTGTGACGGCATGGGGGCTGAAAGATTAGCGGAAGTTGCCTGAAACTCGCAAAGATCTATGGGAAACTCTCAAAGATCTATGGGAAACTCGCCTGTATTTGGGCATCGTCTGGTCCTCCCGGTTCTGCGCAGTGGATGATCTCCCATAATGCTTTGCACCAAACACGCGTGTGTGGGTCTCACACCGGGTCTCACGCACGTGCACAGAGGGGCTCGGCCGCGCTCTGACCAATCAGAGCAGTTCATCAGAGCGGGAGTTAGAGCGAGAGCCAGAGGAGCAGAGTTTGTGGCACTAAAGTGTGGATTTAAACAAAACCAAAGGATTTAAGAAGAAAAAAAGTTCAGGATGACAAGGGACACTAAAATCCCCACAAAATCCGATCTTTATTAAAGCTGTAGGTTCTCTGTCAGCTGAGGTTGAGCTGTTTTAATATGCATTGAGTTCTATGGGGAAAATTTCTGGGTGGCCCACGTGAATTTAGTCTGGTTCAGTCTGCAGTACCGCGAGAATCCCCTGAGCACATGAGTTATTCAGCTACAAGCTAGTAATACCCTATCCAGTTATTATAATACATCCATGGTTGTGAGCGGCTCCCGGTGAGCGGTTCCCGCGTCCAGCTCAGAGCCGCTGGATGCCGGAACACTGTGGCCGCTGAGGTGGTGGAATCCCGTTCAAGTACATACAGCAGGTGCCCCGCGGACACGCGCGCCCCCTCGAACAGTTCTCAACGGATTTACACTTTTCACAAACATCTTTTTTGTATGAGGCAAACAGACCGGCCCAAATATGGGCATCGGCCTTTCTGGCATTGCCCGGTACGCCCGATGGCCAGTCCAGCCCTGCTAAGAAGTATAGCTATTGTTGACTTATCTTGTGCAGTGTGCTCCTCTTTCCTACTGTTCTGTAACCTGTGATGCAACACTGAAATTTCCCCACTGTGGGACAAACAAAGGATCTGTTAATCTTAATCTTACTTTTAGGGATGTAAAAAACTATGAATTTTCATGACCGACCACCGAGCCTCATTAACCGGTTGAAACCGGTTAACCGCGTAGTTTAAAATAGTCCACGTTCTTTGAAATAACAGCCATTTCGAGCCGCGTACTTTTCATAAGTGCAGCTCTGCGTTCTACGGGATCAGAGCCGAGACAGCGGCACCAAAACCCGCAACAGCTTCGGCACCTTTGCGCACAGAGAACTGCTGTTTTAATCTTCCCATTCTTCTGTGCTGCGGCTTAAAGCATTTTTAAGCAAAAGACAGCTCGTCCACATGGTCAGGGCAGCGAGTGACGAGCCGCGTCTCGCAGGTCTCCGCTAAAGTTTAAAAGTGATCAGTGTGGAGCTGATGCCAAGGACCAGCAGCACAAACATGGTCCATGTGGTTTGACTGGAGCCGTGTATTTGCAAGAATGCTTTGGGCTCCGTGACACAGAGGAGCGCGACAGACCGGTATGTGTGTGTGTACAATACATGTATGTATGTGTGTATATGTCTGTGTGTGTGTATATGTAAGCTATGTGTGTGTGCAATACATGTATGTATGTGCGTGTAAATATAAGCTCCAATGTAGTTCTGACCCGCACCAGTGTGCAACTAGCAGGCGGTAACAGAGGGGAGAGATGATGCGTGTGGATGTTACGTGTCAATGGAGGGGGGGGAAATGTGTGTGTGTGTGTGTGTGTGTGCGTGTACATGTGTGCGTGCATATGTGGCGCGTACGGCAGAGTTTACTGTTACATTGGCGCACACAGCTAGATAGGGACCCGCTCGTCACATCGTGCAAATAGGGCTTAAAATAGCGTTATGAAGAGACTTCCCCTCTCCCCCTTTTCTCTTTTTTAACCGACAGCTTTGACCGGTTAACGCTGTGACGGTCAACCACCGGTTAAACGGTCACCGATTTACATCCCTACTTACTTTACAGCCCTCTGGCCCCTGCTCTCTCTGACCACATCTGATCTGAGACTCCTGTTGTTTCTGTGGAGAACTGTGCAACTGTGACTTTTATTAATACATTTTATACTTTCCCTGTGCGAATATTATTGGATGCATTTTGTTTGTGTTTTTTAGAACCAGTTTATCCACTTTTTCTAAACCTCTCTCCATATTGTCACGCGCGGTGAGAGGAAGGACCCAAAATACAGGATGCAAAATAATGATTTCATGATGAAGATAAAATATAAAGTCCAAGGTAAAAACAAAATCCAAACTGAAAACAGGAACAAGGAATCAGGAACACAGACAGAAACAAGACGCTGGACCAGCAACAAAGGGAGAAGATCACAGGTACAGATCCACACCATGACACACATTCCCCCATATCCTGCGACCACCTCCATTCCCCCTCCCTGACTCCTCCCCCTTCCCAACACAGACACAATCTCAAAAATAAATGTTAGCTCTGGACTCTGTTTCTCTCTTTTATTGAGTTGAAGACATCACCTGGGATTAGTACAGCTCAGGATACACCACGATTACACTTTAATAATTTTAAGATAATGTAGTGTATCCCTAAAAGATTCATTGGTGTAACACATTTAATTTTAACCTTTTGACATTCGCTCATCGAACAAAGCAATGTTTTTTTTTACTTTTTTGGATTTTCTGAGATCCAGCTGACAAGAAGCGAGCATATGTTTTATTTTAGGCCTTTAACAACTGCTTGAGGTGCAGTTTGATGGCTAAAGTGCCTGAAACCAAGTGAGATATCGACTCAAAAGGAGATCTACCAAATAATTGAGATGAAGCCATTGAAGGGTTAAATAAACAAGTACGTTTTTCAAGTTTACGTGCCCAACACTGGCAACAACGTAAAGTTATTCTCATCCAAATCAAACAATCAAACACATCTTCAAATTACTTTCTTTTCACATTATTTTAACCAATGAGTTTACACTAGATTATTGTAAAAAAAAAAAAAGACATTTCCACGCACCACGTCACATGGATGAAAAACACAGCTTTTATTGAGGAGAAGAAAAACCCCAAAAGAATCTCCAGTTTCTTACCGAACAAACTGTTGCTGAACCCGTCCCACACGCAGGTCGTCGGGCTCCATATCCATCCTCCTTTTACGCACGCGAAGAACGTGAAGTTAATCCCAGTGACGGAGACTAGAAAATCACTCAGACTGATGTTGACCAGGAGCAGGTTGGTCGGAGTCCGCAGCCGCTTGAATTTACAGAACAGGACAATGACCACCACGTTGTTGCAGAAGCCGAAGACGCCGATGGTCCCGATGGTCAGAGCCAGAAGTTTGTAAGTCCCGGGGGCAAAGAGTGAGGAGGGGTCGCTGCTTCTGTCCGAGGCTCTGGAGTCGTTCACGGGAATCATGACGCGCGGAGAAAGTTGGTTTGGTTCATGGTGGAAGAGCGCGCGTCTCTGCACCGAGCGGACAGTGTGGATGTGGCTGATGCGCGCTGGCTGACGCGTGAGACTGGGAAGAGAGAGAGGGGAGAGGAGGGGAGGAGAGAGAGGTGAGGGGAGTGAGGGAGAGAGAGGGGAGAGGGAGAGAGAGAGGTGAGGGGAGTGAGGGTGGAACGAGAGGGGAGAGGAGGGGAGGAGAGAGAGAGAGAGGTGAGGGGAGTGAGGGGTGGAACGAGAGGGGAGGGGAGGGGAGGAGAGAGAGAGAGAGGTGAGGGGAGTGAGGGGTGGAACGAGAGGGGAGGGGAGGGGAGGAGAGAGAGAGAGAGGTGAGGGGAGTGAGGGGTGGAACGAGAGGGGAGGGGAGGGGAGGAGAGAGAGAGAGAGGTGAGGGGAGTGAGGGGTGGAACGAGAGGGGAGGGGAGGGGAGGAGAGAGAGAGAGGTGAGGGGAGTGAGGGGTGGAACGAGAGGGGAGGGGAGGGGAGGAGAGAGAGAGAGAGTGAGGGGAGTGAGGGGTGGAACGAGAGGGGAGGGGAGGGCAGGAGAGAGAGAGATGAGGGGAGTGAGGGGTGGAGAGAGAGAGATGAGGGGTGGGAGAGCGAGATGAGAGAGAAAGGTGAGGGGAGTGAGGGGTGGAGAGAGAGAGGAGAAAGGGGGGAAGAGATAGGAAGGAGAGGGGAGGAGAGGGGGCAGAGAGAGAGGTGAGGGGTGGAGAGAGAGGGGAGGGTGGGGGGAGAGGTGAGGGGAGTGAGGGGGGGAGAGAGAGAAGAGAAAATGGGGAAGAGATAGGAGGGAGAGGGAGGAAGGAGAAAGAAGAGGAGAGAGAGAGGTGAGGAGGGTAAAGAGTTGATTGAGAGAGCGTGAAGAGGAGAGAGAGAAAGAGAGAGAATGTTAAATCAGAGAGAAAGGGAAAAGGTGGTGATGGCTTCTCCGTCACAGATGACACAGCATTAGTGAAGTGTCTTTCCCAAGGACACAACGACAGCAGACATCACTGGGAGTCATGGTGACGAGGGAGCAGCGTCTGTAGTCAAAGCTCTGAATTAACCTGTCACTCTACCTCCCCACCCCTCACCTCTGGTCGTGAGCTCTGAGTAATGACTGGATGATTGATGAAGCCTGAATAATGCAGACAAAATAATGCTTATGGATCGTTTTTTTTTATGAATCACTTTGGTGAGCACATTTATTTACACATTTGCACTTTCACTTCTCAACAATGAAATCCCAGGTCGAACAAGACGTTTTTTGAGTGGAGTTTGCATGTTCTCCCCATTTCCTCCGGTAACTAAAAACAGGTTTGTCAAGCGCCTCCTGTAGGTGACCTGCTCCATCTCTGTGTGGAGTGAGAGAAATATTTAAAAAAAAGTTAAACGCTTTGTGACTCTGATCTGTGAAAGGCGCCATACAAATAAACATGACTTACTTAATTACTTACATACAGAGAGCCTCCGGGCTTCAAACTCCGCTCAGCTTCATGGAGACTGTGGATGTTAAAGGAGCCACACAACAGTTTTACTACAGCCGAGATAAGACGCCATACTTCTCTGGATCCTTGTGAATCTATGAAATGCTGTTGATCTGGTTTACTTTGGCCACAGTTGATGCAGACATGTTTTTATTGCTGTATAGTATAGTAGGTCGCTATGGTAACCGTCTCTGGTTCAGTCCAAAATGACGAAAACGCTGTTGTCAAAACTGCAACAGACTTTTGCCTCTTGTCATAAATACAGTTTGGTGGAAGGAGAGGAAAGGACCGCAGTCCTCAGTGTTGGGAGTAACAGAGCACATGTAACGCCGTAACGGTTCAGAATACTCTTTTTGAGGTTATGTTTATAGAGTTTGCTTTAAATGTGCTGGAGAACGGCTGAAAGTCCTAAGCAGCTCTGAAACAGTTGTTGTTTATGGTGTTACAATTTTCTTGCCTTTTTCTGCCTGAGATGTTGCTGCAGTTCAGTGTTCATGGTTTTACACTGGTCCAGACCAGAGCAGAGAGGATTCATGGTTTTACACTGGTCCAGAACAGATTCAGATTCAGTTTATTTGCCATTTGCAGTAAAAAAAAACCCACATTGGAATACATTAGCAAAAGTCTCCAGTGTGCACAGACAAATACAGACATAAAACAACATTAAAAGACAAAAATAAACAAATAAAACAGTAAACAAATGTCACTGTGAAATCGATCGACTAAAACAGTTTCAAAACAAGTGCAAATCATTAAAGTGCTCTGTTCACACTGATAACAGCCTGTGGATAAAAACTGTTAGCGTAACGAGATGTCCTGCATCTCAGAGAGCGATATCTTCTGCCAGAGGGAAGAAGCTGGAACATGGCTTTCCCAGGGTGGCCAGAAGAGTCATTGACAATCCTAAGAGCTTTGTTTAAAAGTCTGGATTTATAAAGAACCTCCAGAACAGGAAGCTCACAGCCCACGGTCCTCTTTGCAGAGCGGAGCACCTTGTTTAAAGATCTCTTTTCTTTATCTGTGTTTCCAAACCACACAGACACAGAACCAACAAGTAAACTCTCAATGGTGCAGCCATAAAAGTTAAGCACAATCTTAGAGTTAGTGGTAAATTCTCTAAGTTTACGCAGAAAGTAGAGATGCTGACGAGCTTTCTTAACGACTCGGTCAGTGTTTTTAACCCATTTCAGGTCGTTAGACAGAGTTAAACCCAGAAACTTGCACTCCTCTACGATCTGCACCTGGGAGTTGTCGATTACGACAGGCAAATGAGAACTATTGCGACTGAAGTCGTAGACCAGTTCACATGTTTTGGATGCGTTCAACTGGAGGTTGTTAGTTTGACTCCACTGAACCACATTTTGTATCTCTGCTCTATAAGAGGATTCATCATTGTCACTGATGAGACCGATGATGGTGGTGTCATCAGCATATTTAATGATCAAATTTGAGTCAGAGGAGGACACACAATCGTGAGTGTACAAAGTAAAAAGCAAAGGACTCAAAATACATCCCTGAGGAGAACCAGTGCTCACAGAAACAACATCAGAAAAACAGTCATTGATTTTCACAGAGCAGAGAGGATTTATGGTTTACACTGGTCCAGACCAGAGCAGAGAGGATTTATGGTTTACACTGGTCCAGACCAGAGCAGAGAGGATTCATGGTTCGAACCAAGTGGATCAGGTGATATTCCACCGTAGGAATGCAAACTTTTTGAAAAATGCTAATGAAGCATTTAGAATTGTACTTTGGACTAGAGCAGAGAAAATGGAGGAGGCGAGCGATGTTGAGGAAAACAGGTTTGTCAACCGCCTCCTGTAGGTGTCCTGCTCCACCCAGAGGCTACTCCACCTCTGCTGCTGTGACCCGTCCTGCTCCACTCAGAGGCTACTCCACCTCTGCTGCTGTGACCCGTCCTGCTCCACCCAGAGGCTGAAGGGAAGTCTTCAAAGGTAAATATGAATGATGCATTATCAATAATAATTTAGAATAAAGATACTATTTTTTTCCAAAGTAACGGAATTCCACACATATTCCAATTTAGGTCATTTATGCAGTGTTCTGTAACGGAACACATTTTCAAAGTATTCAACGCAATACTTACTCCACTACCACTGACTCCTCTGTCTCGGTCTGCTCTGTCTCTGACTCCTCTGTCTCTGTCTCCTCTGTCTCCTCTGTCTCTGACTCCTCTGTCTCTGTCTCCTCTGTCTCTGTCTCCTCTGTCTCTGTCTCCTCTGTCTCTGACTCCTCTGTCTCTGTCTCCTCTGACTCTGTCTCCTCTGTCTCTGACTCCTCTGTCTCTGTCTCCTCTGACTCTGTCTCCTCTGTCTCTGACTCCTCTGTCTCTGTCTCCTCTGTCTCTGACTCCTCTGTCTCTGACTCCTCTGTCTCTGACTCCTCTGTCTCTGTCTCCTCTGTCTCTGTCTCCTCTGTCTCTGACTCCTCTGTCTCTGTCTCCTCTGACTCTGTCTCCTCTGTCTCTGACTCCTCTGTCTCTGTCTCCTCTGACTCTGTCTCCTCTGTCTCTGACTCCTCTGTCTCTGTCTCCTCTGTCTCTGACTCCTCTGTCTCTGACTCCTCTGTCTCTGTCTCCTCTGTCTCTGTCTCCTCTGTCTCTGTCTCCTCTGTCTCTGACTCCTCTGTCTCTGTCTCCTCTGACTCTGTCTCCTCTGTCTCTGACTCCTCTGTCTCTGTCTCCTCTGACTCTGTCTCCTCTGTCTCTGACTCCTCTGTCTCTGTCTCCTCTGACTCTGTCTCCTCTGTCTCTGACTCCTCTGTCTCTGTCTCCTCTGTCTCTGACTCCTCTGTCTCTGACTCCTCTGTCTCTGTCTCCTCTGTCTCTGTCTCCTCTGTCTCTGACTCCTCTGTCTCTGACTCCTCTGTCTCTGTCTCCTCTGTCTCTGACTCCTCTGTCTCTGACTCCTCTGTCTCTGACTCTTCTGACTCTGACTCCTCTGTCTCTGACTCCTCTGTCTCTGTCTCTGACTCCTCTGACTCCTCTGTCTCTGACTCCTCTGTCTCTGTCTCTGACTCCTCTGACTCCTCTGTCTCTGACTCCTCTGTCTCTGTCTCTGACTCCTCTGACTCCTCTGTCTCTGTCTCCTCTGACTCTGACTCTGACTCCTCTGTCTCTGACTCCTCTGTCTCTGACTCCTCTGACTCTGACTCCTCTGTCTCTGTCTCCTCTGACTCTGACTCCTCTGTCTCTGACTCCTCTGTCTCTGACTCCTCTGTCTCTGACTCCTCTGACTCCTCTGTCTCTGACTCCTCTGTCTCTTTAACGACAAAAGAATCCTGTGTTCCAACACCATGACAGATGTGTTCGTTTGTCTCTGTCCCTTCAGGACCTTGGACAGCAGCAGTGGACGGCTCTGGCTCCCACAGACCCACCAGGTGCATATTTTTACCCCCAGACGTCGCTCTGATGTTGGGGAGAGCTTTGACGGCGCTGGCCTGAATCTGCACCTGACAACACCATCCTGCTCCTGCGCTGATCCCCGGACATTTTGTGACATTTGTCGAGGGTTGTTTGCTTTGCACCGCGCTTCTGTCCACCGCCAAATGTCACAGTGTGGAATGTGGGGCTCTGACCTGGTTTTTGAAGCCCAGAGGTTCAGACAAAATGGCAAACACACGCCCGGAAGTGGACAAAGCATGTGAGTCTTTGAAGAGATTTGTCAGATAGTCTTGTGAACCAAGCTTTACAATGAAGTGCTGGGAAATAGGGTTTTAAAACTCTCTGTTGATTCGTCTTCATCTGTATTCATTAAAAGCAAATGTAAAATACTGAACGTAGGATGTGACCTTGCTAAGAGCACAATTTCCTTCTATTCAATTTGATGTATTTGTGTTTCGCCTTGAATCAAAATAGCAGCAGCAACAGGTCAGAGAATCAGTCCCAGAGAGTCCTGAGTCTGGGACCAGCAGGAGGCCAGTCCCTGTGCTCCTCCTAGCCCCAGCAGGAGGCCAGTCCCTGTGCTCCTCCTAGTCCCAGCAGGAGGCCACTCCCTGTGCTCCTCCTAGTCCCAGCAGGAGGCCACTCCCTGTGCTCCTCCTAGTCCCAGCAGGAGGCCACTCCCTGTGCTCCTCCTAGTCCCAGCAGGAGGCCAGTCCCTGTGCTCCTCCGAGTCCCAGCACGAACAAACAGAGCTGCTTTAAAGTCTGTTCTCTGAGCCACAGGAAGCAGAGACCTGAGAACTGGACTAATGTGATGGTACTTCCTGGGTTTGAGGACTTACAGAGTCATAAACAACTTAGCAGACCATTAGCACTGAGGGTTTCTCAATATAACCACCTCATATTTTGTGTCTTGAGATGAAGAGAATCTTTGGCCTCCTCTGAGGACAGAATCCACAGGCAAAAACAAAAGGCTTTTGTTTTTGTAAAATGAATCTATTAGTTACAAAAAAAGCGACGGAACTCTTTGAAATGATTTCCTTTCATTCAAAACATGACAAATGAGCAGGTTTTTAACAAAAAGCAGAAACAGCAGGTACAGGGTGCTCCTAAAACCTGGTCCCTGGATCCTGTTTGACTAATCCTGATGAGAAATCCGTCACTGTGGATTTTTACTGGACACGTAACTCAAAAAAAAAGAACCTGGAAGTGTCCTGCTGCTGTTCATGTCTAAGAGTAAAGAATCAAGTTTAAAATACTGTATATTAGTGCAAGAAGTATATATATTGGTACATTGTGAGAGTCTGTGATGTACTTTTAAATATTAATTCCCGGAACGCCACGTTGTGACAAAACTGACATTGAAACTCTCTATCAACTACAATCTCTCTGAGACACGAATAATGATTAAACTCTGGGGATTTGGGTGGACTCGCAGACCTCCTGATTGCTCTCAGACCCGCGTGCCGTCACAAAAGCCCCACGAATTAAAGTGTAATTAAAAGTCAAAGATTCCTGACCCAATTTCCACTTCGCACAGAGCCGCGGCGCGCACCGAGCAGGAGATAATCTTTTAAACAGATTCCGAGGCAGACGGCTGATTATGATGCTAACCTCTGCGCCGCTGTGTGACCACATGTTTTATTCATGAGACGGAGCCAAGAGGTCGAACGAGACGCGAGACACAACGACCACAAGACTTCTCCCCAGAGTAAACCAGGACGGAGACAGGACCCCGCACAGACCACCATCTCCTCCTTCACTGATGCAGAGATCTTATCAGACGTACTAAAGTATTGTTTACTTACTGTTTCACCTGTGGACTGGTCTCCCCTGGACCCGGACTCGTGGGCTACACCCCCCTCCACAGCCTGGGAGCCTCCTCAGTCCTGGATCTGTAGTCTCAGTCCTGGATCTAGAGTAGAGTAGGGTAGCCTAGCCTAGACTAGACTACATGTACCTGTGCTCTTCCCCATTTGTTGCTGGTCCTTTGTCTTTGTCCGTGTCTCCCTTGGTTCGTCTGTTTCCCTGGAGTTTTATTTATTTCCTTTATTAAATCAATATTTTTGGGTCCTTCCTTAATTTCTCCTCACAAGAAGAGGAGATAGACAAGACTAATGTAGAGTAGAGTAGAAACAGGCCAAGCAGGGCTGATAATATCAGGGCTTTTCCAATCACTTCTTGTCATAACTTTGTAGATGACTCTGTGTTCTCTGCAGCTTCAGGCTTTTTTTAAAATCAGAGAAAAGTGGATGTTTCTTTTGGACGGATCCGCACTGAGACAGGAAGTGGAAGAAAAGCCTTAAATCACATTCGGACGTGAAAAGACACAATCTGACAAGTCATTCCGGTGTTGGAGGCTGTCTCCCAAACACAGGAAGAGAAGAAGACGAAGAACGTTTATGGAAATGTTCTGTCCAGATCCAGAGTTTATTTGAAGATTAGAGTAGGGTTAGGGAGGGTAAAGTAGGGTAGAGAAGAGATGGGGAGGGTAGAGATGAGAAGGGTGGAGTAGGAGGCCAGTCCCTGTGCTCTTCAGAGTCCCAGCAGGAGGCCAGTCCCTGTGCTTCTCAGAGTCCCAGCAGGAGGCCAGTCCCTGTGCTCCTGTGAGTCCCAGCAGGAGGCCAGTCCCTGTGCTCCTCAGAGTCCCAGCAGGAGGCCAGTCCCTGTGCTCCTCAGAGTCCCAGCAGGAGGCCAGTCCCTGTGCTTGTAGTCTCTTCTCTGAGCCACAATAAAATACATTTGAAAACTAAACAGTTTCAGAGCCAGAAACTAGTTTGGTGGATTCCATGACATGCTTTCAAAGTCTGTGGTATAAAAATCACAACAAATAAATAACATTTGCTGATTTTTTTCAGTAAATTTTCAAAACCACAAGTTAAACACAAAAGAAAGTTGGAGAATCCTCGACGGTTTAATTTCAAAGACCTCCGGCTCCGAACTCATGCATCAATCATGAGGCTGTTTTAAACCTGCAGCTTTCACCCTCTGCTCTTTCTCCTGACGCTCATGAAAAGACTTCAGGTTAACACATCAATCTGTCGCTTCAAATATGGACTCATTGATTCCCAACCTGTGAACCGAGGCCCGCGGCACCACCAGGCATCCTACAGAGGCTCGTTCTTCTTCCAGAAGATTTCTGCTTAGACTTGACGAGAATATGCTTCCTAAACCCTTGAACAAATGAAGTCCCAACCACAACCCTATTTCCAACGTGTACAATGCAAAAAATTATAAAATATGAGGTAAAAAACATTAATCCAAGCACATTCTTAAAATAGTATTTTCCAATGAGACAAATCCATTTGATCTTATTTCAAGAACTGTTGCTTCATTTTCTCATTCCAACAGAGACTTTTCTTGTATCTTTTTAAAACAAGATACATTTGTTTTGTCTCATTGGAAGATCTTGTGACAGGCGACAGTAGAGCATTGGCCTTCAGGCCTGAAGGTCGTGGGTTCAATTCCCACCTCTACACCTTCTCCACCGACTCCCACTGATGACTGCTGTCGTTGTGTCCTTGGGCAAGACACTTAACCCCACTTTGCCCAAAGTCCCCACTGAAAGATCAAGGCTATGCTCACACTCAGAGAGCAGCCGTCCTCCTGTGGACTCACCACCTGCAGAGGGTCAGTGAGGGGCTGGTGCTATGAGACTTGGGTGACATCTCTGATTGCCACCCCCCTGACCCAGAAATGGATTAAAGGGAAGAAAATGGATGGATGGATGGAAGATCTTGTTTTAAGGCTCAGTCAAAATGTGCTCAAATTAGCATACATCTAATTTTTTTTGTTATTTTCTTCCCCTTCCATTCCATTCTATTTTCTTTCACTTCATCTGTTGCTCAGTCGCGGGTCAGCAGTTAAGACGTCATGACCTCCCTTTCCAAACACACTTCCTCCAGCTCGTCCGGGGGGACCCCAAGGCGTTCCCAGGCCAGCTCAGAGACACAGTCCCTCCAGCGTGTCCTGGGTCTTCCCCGGGGCCTCCTCCCGGTGGGACGTGCCCGGAACACCTCCCCAGGGAGGCGTTGTAATGACAGTTTTTAGAGTAATTAAATTAGAACCAGTCGCAGCAAATACACGGACGACTGGGCCTTTAATCAATGCAGAGACGGCCGTCTGACGCCATGCTGAGTTTGCAAAGGCCTCTGCTGTCTGCTCCTTTCACACCTAAGACAAAGGCCTTCCTGTGTCTTGCGCTAAAACAAAAGGTGATGTTTGCATGATAATCTCAGCCCATGTGACGTCACGGTTTTGGGGCCCTGCTGTGCGCCTCCTGAGTATATGTATTGGTACAGTAGCTGTGCCCCGGCAGAGCTCACGATGCAAGACTGTATGTCGGCTCTCCGCATATATATGTGTAAAATAAATGTGTTTACATCTTTGATTTAAGACAAATACCTTTCCAGTTTTGATGGAAAACTGCCACAACAGTTTGGCGTTGCTGGCATGTCTTGGCCTGGGTTTTTTTCGGCGGGGACGAGCGGGTGCGTTCGGCCGACCTGGAACAAAACCAGCCTCCGCTCTATTTGGAGACGAAAGGAGGGCGCGCTCGTCCGGCGCATGAAAAGAATCTTTGGCCACACAAGACCAAAAAGAACCTGATTTGTGGTGAGTTTTGTCTTTTCAAACATGTAAAGCCCAGGGCAGCGCTTAAGTGTACACGGGTATTTGATTTATTTACGTATTTTGGGGTATTTTGTTCATTGCCATTTGTGTAGGGTATGAGATTTAAGCTAGCGGCTGCGTGTTAGTATTGCTCTGTAAGCAACCCTGAACTCTTTGTGCCTTCAGCCGGGCCCGGTCCGTTTCAAGAATGCGCGCGCCCGTTAGGTGTATTGAACTAACGGGGGGGGAACGGATCGCTCCAGAGTGAGGAAGAGCAGGGAGAGACTAAGCGGGCTAGATCCATTTGTTCTTTAAGAGAAAATGGAGGGAAGTACACTAGAAAGGGATTCAGACGTCCCGTAACAATGGCAATGGAAAAACGGTTGCAAATT